TTCCAACTCACTATTTTCAGTAATTATGCGTGCATATATGGTCGTCCTTTATTCTAGCTGTACATAATAACATATGCGCACATATTATAATACTTATCAATTTATGTATACGCATATTTACATAAATGGCTTTGATTTCCTCTTGTCTGCAGTTATATACTATTTCCCTATGCAGGTCTCTTTTATTATAATTACTCATTTTCACCTACATTCAACAGCATCAACAATTTTTGACCGAAGTGACCAACAATTTATGGAACAGAAAGCTTTCTAACGTAATATTTCAAAAAAATTATCCAAATTCTCCGTACTATCAAAATTTATTAAAGTATGTTATTTTCCAGGAAATCTTAATTGCGCAGCTTAAAAAAAAACGTCGAAAAAATCATTTAAGATGCTGGACACAAATTTCAATGAGAATTTAAAAGTGAGATAAGCTGTACAGGGAACATATGGTGGCGTAACGGAACCGCTGCTTATTGAAAGTGGCCGCGCAGGTGTTGGAAGTGGAACGATTAGTCAAGATAAAGTACTCATTGAAGCAATCAGGAGAATCCGTGAAAGTCAGCAAACTGCTGGTCAACCAGAACTTCAGCTTCTTAGCGACCTCAGGCTGGCCAGCGCAGCTGCTGGTGATGGCGACTTGTACAATGAACTCATGAAAAAGTATGCAAATTTTGACGGAACATCTAACACGTCACTATTTTACCAGAAAAGCACGAAAGTGTGCTAACTTGACCCAACAGAACTTTGATCAAAGAAGAGTTAAGTTCACTCAAATTCACTTAGGCAAGATAAAGTACTCATTGAAGTATGGGTTACCTTCGCTCAGTCGTTATTCGAGCCCACCATATACCCTTAGTATGGGTTACCTTCGCTCAGTCGTTATTCGAGCCCACCATATACCCGTATCATCTATCTTTTTAAAAGTTACCCGAGTGGGAAATATGCTTAAAAACTCAGACTGAAACGCACCAGATTTTCCTTTACGGTCATGAGTTTTTGTGCTGAACTTGAAGCAGTCAGACCCTAACCGTGTAAACAACTGTTGCTTTAAATTTAACTTGTGCCTCATTGCCGTAAATCACCGTAAATTTTGCATAAATGAAATGAATAACTCCTGTTGAACGGTCATCTACTGAAAACTACTAGGTTGTTCTGGTTCCCAAATTAGCAACTTACCTGCTAAAACTTGTACACGCCCGCAATTGAGAACCTCGCATGCTTAGGGCCCGGATTTGAAATTCTCAAATTGGTACCTGGATAAAGAGCATCCTCTTAAAACCTCAGCTTTCCAGCTTCTCTGGTTCCCAGATTAATATATTTCACGTGTCCGTGCGTGTGATGCAGACGTATTAGAAGGCTCGATATGAAAGCTTTGGGTCGTACGTGGGCAGGGACATCTTCTCAAAATTTCAGCTTTGTAGCTTTTTTGATTTTTAAGTTAACAGTTTCACGTCGAAATTTTCACGTGCCCGTACGTGAGACTCGCGCACAATAGGAAGCTGAATTTGAAATTTCCGATTGTACATGAATAGTGAACACACCCTTAAAATTCTGGTCGTAGTTTTTCTCGCTCCCGGGTTACTAATTCTCCCGCCAAACTTCCACCTGTTTGCATGTGAGGCTGGGACGAATTAAGGAGTTGAATTTGAAATCTTTTGGCTGTACATGAGTAAGAATGTCCCTTGGTCGGAACACCTTAAAATTTCTTCTTTCCAGCTTTTTCAGCATTTCATCTCTCCAGCTATCTAATAATTATCTTGTCAAATTTTCGTCTGTTTGTATGTGGAACGCAGACGTGCATAAAAGTTGGCATCACGTCCCTGGAGTAGCACCTGGCCAGGAAACACACTGGCAAAATTCAGCATCAAAGCTGAGTAGAAGTACTTGGACAGGCGAGCACACACATACAGGGTAGTCACTATATGCCTTTTTACTGACTTTTGCAGCGCTTTAGCGCTGCACAGCAAAAACGCATAACAAAATAAATTTTTTTAATATGTAAAACCACTGCAGATATGAAGAATGCATTGAAAGAAACATTGAGCTTGAGTCGAAAGGCGACGAAGCGCAGCGCAAAACTGCTGCACTGGAAGCAGAGCTCAGAAGAACCAAAGAACGCCTCTCCGACAATCAGGTTTGACTTCCACGCTTACAGAGCCAAAAAAAGCGACTCGTTAAGGCGATGCACGTCGTCCACCATTACAGACCCTTTGAACCCATTGTACAACAGCTTCGGTGGGTTCTGTGAGATAAGGTGGTTTTCTTGTGAAGCTGAAAGAATGGACTTCGAGACTTCTTATGAAGCCTTAGCCTCTTTTATCTGTTCTTCGTTCTACGTCACGGCTTTTAACTACAACAAACATCGTTCACCTTCTGCTCAGCTAGAACTCTGTGATCACACGTTATAAACATCTTCAGCTTGCTTTTAAGCAGTCCTTAGAAAAAAACTATAATGGATGTCTGCTGTTCGAATACCTCCGAGTGCTCCCGCCTTTGATAGAAATGAGATTTTAAGTTTTAGCTTTTTACAAACATATGCGTACATAACGACACTTCTGCACATTTTTTTTTTTGCAGGCGGCACTTCGTAAGCTACATGAATTAGCTCAGGATGCCACACGCGGTCCAGAACGAGAGAAAAGAGCTCGTTCGCTCTCACCAGGTTATAACTTTTTGAAAGGGACCTAAGTGACAGCAATAATAAGAAAGACTTTAAACGCAATTATAACTAGAAACTTTTTTCCAGAGCTGAGTTTCAATCTGAACAATTTATAGCCAAAATAGAAGTAAATCAGAGCAATACTGCAAGAACTCATATTTAGGAGGCACACCCCTTCCGCCTTCAGAAGCCCTTCGCACTGTCCGCAACATAATCCGCAACAAGGACAGCGAAATTCAGCAACTGGAACGAAAATTGAAGATTGTTGAAAACCAAGTAATTTTTTCAAGACAACAGTTTTTAAAATTATAGCAGCTAGAGCAGAGATATGCGATTTCCTCGCTTAAAGTGCCTGACAGTTCAAAACGTTTTGATTTAGGTCAAAGAGTTTATGAACAAATTCGAACATGCAGATGAGGCCCGACGATATCTGGACAAACATTTGGCTGATAGCAAACGCGATTTAACAGTCCAGTATGAAAATCCACTTTTGCTAGAATTATTCATTAATAATTTTACTTCTTTTAAAAGTAAAAGTTATCGAAACTTGATTCCTTTCAGGCTCAAAAGTCTGGATGATGCAGAACGCCAAATAAGACGTCTTGAAGAACGTTTACGTGCCGCTGATTCAGAGAAGGCGGCAGCCGAAAAAGCAAGAAAATATCTTGAAGAAGAAATCAACAAACTTCATCAGTCAGTGAAACTGCTTTATTTTCTTGGGTGAAATTTTAGATGAATGAGGCTAGATAGTAAAAAAAGAAACAAGTATGAGGGTGTAATTAAAAACGGAAGAAAAAAAACGATTTCGCAAAGCCGCTACCATAAAAAATTTAATTCATCACACACAGCACAGCGAGTCTAGACTGGAGCGCAGAATTTTTAAGAATATGATTTTCCAAACAGTGTCTTGTTTTCAGGCAATACCAAAAAGCGACAGCGGAAGAAGAAAGAAAAGCTCGTGACAAGGAGCATGAAATCAACCTTGGGCTTGAGGAAGAATATAAAAACCGGTAGTGATATCCTCAGTAGAAGGTTTTACAAACTCACATAAACCGCTCCGTTATTTCAGTGTCACTGGAACGCATGTACAGGTTCTCAAAACCATTCACTTTTTAGCTGCTTGTTTTCAATTTGAACCTCTGTCCTGGCGACGTGCATGCCTTATCTCCTGGAGGTCATCCGAATGGTTGTTTCACTTACGCAAACACCAACCAACGACAGCAATGCAGATTAGCAATGAAAGCAGTGAACGAATGAATGTGCTGTAAAATTTTAAAAAAATCCAACAGTAATCAAATAATTTTGCAGCATTAACGAGCTCACGCATCGCATCGAGACGATCCAACGTGACAATACAAAGCTGAAAACGGAACTAAACACAATGAGGGATAAATACAGAGATACTGAGAATGAGTATAACATCACGTTAAGAAAACTAGAAGAGAAAGGTACACATCCTGCAAACGTGTAATCAAAACAGTGCTTGTCGCCAATTTTTTATGAAGCTGAAATTGTTCGTGTGCCTAAAAAGAGCGCAAACAACGTAAAAGAAGAAGCAAGAGTCAGTCAGAACGCGAAATCTAGCCAAAAAGCGCCGCTCAAAAACCAGTTGGGATCAAATTTAAATAAATTAGAACTAAGATAGGATTTGGTACCACTGACCAAAAACTAACTCTTTTTGCGGCATATCGTCAGAGCTTTGCTGGAAACTCCGTGTCCAAACTTAATTGCAGAATGATATTTCCTTCGAAATAGTTGACACAGAAACGAAGTTTCATTGAAAAGCAACTCTGACTTGAATACTCAGAAAAAAGCAGCCGGCTAAGGATTAGAAGATGCGAGTGGGGTAGGGGGGAAGGAGGTCGGGAGAAAATGGGCAGTGAGGTTGAAGAAAAAGGGAGAAAAGGCTACTTCCTATTTTTTTGCGCCAGTAGGTATCCTAAATCGCTCGTCTAGAAAATGACGAGTATGAGTGCATGAGTCAAGGAGGCCAATTGCAGCTGTATGGGTAAAAAAGTAAACTGAAAGAGCAAAATTTATCTAAAAGGTGCGAAATTCCAACAGGAAATGCAGGAAAAAATTCAGCTTTTAAAAAACACCTCTGTGCAATGAGGAGGAAGCCGGAGTGGGAACGATAGGTGAAGGCTTGATTGAGGGCTTAGAAAACAAGTAGGTCGCTTGCCTTTATTAAAATTCAGTTAAACTATTGTTTGAAAGCACTCTGTCACTGAATAAAAGAAGTCGCCCAGTTCCGTAGCATTGCAGATACCGCGCTGCGTCATCTCGATGAAATCAAACGTCAGCTGACAAATGAACTCAGTCAACAGAGAGCTCGCTATGACGCACTCACCTCTGACTTCGATAAACTAAACAATGAGTATGAGAATGCAAATAAAACAATTGCAACGCATGAGCAAACTCTTCGAGAGATTAAGCAACAAAGAGACGACTACAGGTACGTTTCGTTTTGGAAAGAAATCAATCCCCAAAATACTTTGTTCAACCTTTGTTTCCACCTTTCTTTACGTCACTGATGCAGCTTGCAACTTTCCCATTTTTATGCGTTTTTTGCAGCAGTGCAATGCGAAAAACGCATATTGACGAGAGGTTGTCTGTG